TATATATATATATATATATATATATATATATAAAACCGAAGGTAAAGCTCTCACGGGAGCGGCCTATAGAAACATATGATATTCGGGCAGAGAAACGCGTCAATTGCCTATAGAATTCTTCTATACAGAAAAGTTGTACATTTCAGACTACGAGAGACCAAGCGAGCCAAACTGAAAAAAGATCCGTAACATGAATATAAGATGTATATGTACTGTGCTAGATAGAGAAATCAGTTCGTATTGCTATTTACCAGAGTTAGCTTATCCTCCTCCTTCTTAAGTATCTTCGCGGTCTGTTCTTGGTCGAACTTGACAACGGCAGCGATTACTCTGGCGAGCACCATCGTCTCTCTTCCCATCATGTATTCGAACAGAATATTTCTAAGATACTCAATTTCCGTTGAATCTTCCAATGTGTCGTGTCGCAAACTGACCAGTTTCCTAAGTTCCGCGAGTTCTCGCCTCTGAGACGTCAGAGTCTGTTGCAAAGTGTGAATCGAGCCGGTGCTCGTGTGTATCGCGGCCATCGCCACGCGAGAAGTACTTTCCAATTCCTGTATAAAATTTCACTTTATTCAGAACTCTCAATTTTAAAACAGCTGTGCTATGTAAAATAAATATGTATAGAAAAAAAGCAGTCAGTGTAGGCATTAAATAAAAAGAAATGAAGCTTTACCTCGGAAGCTGCATCAGTTTGTGCATCAGGCTGAAAATGCGAAATATGTGAACGAAAATTAAAAAATTAATTTAAAAAAAATGAAACATGCATGAATAAATAAAATGATCATACATTTAAAAATTTATATCTAAATAAATAAATATAAAATATACATATAGGGTTAAATTGAATTATATCTTCAAATTATGCAAACTTACCTTTCTTTCGTTTTGCCACTCTTTTGTTAGTTCGTTCAATTCGTCCTCATGTTTAACTTGCAGATTATCGATTTTCTGCTGCACTATAGCCTTCCACTTTTTCTCTAATTCTTTTATTTCATCAGTGTGTTCCTTTTTAATTTGCGCAATGGTTTCTACCAAGCGATCAATATCCTTTCCCTTCTCTGCTACCACATCTTTTTTCTCTAGAACAAGACTCTCGAGTTGCTCAGATTTCTCTGTTAACTCTATTTGACAATCTTTTAATTGTTCTTTGTATTGCTGTACAAGATTCGATTCGTAGTTGTGTTGGCGATCTACATAAAGATTAAATACCGATTATATATTGGAATGTTTCTTAAATATTTTTGTTTCATTACCACACACACACAC